TCGCATGGATCACTGTGGCCAGATCGCCGCGGCTAAGGAAGGGGACCAACTGCAGCAGCAGCCGTAGATGATAAAAGGCTGCTCTGGCAGTGGTCGCCACCTGGGCCTCCATCGTTAAGGTGGGGTCCAGGAGCACTCCCAAACTCCTAACCTCATTGAAGGCCGGGAGCGGAAGCCCCAATCCCATACCACCCCGACCCAGGCACAGGACCTCCGTCTTCGCCAGGTTCAGCTTCAGGCGACTCAGCCTGAGCCACCCAGCCACGGCCTGTAAGGCCCGGTGAAGATCTTCTGGGTCAGAGTCCGACTGGGTGTCATCGGCATATTGATGACACCCAAGCCCATACCTCCGGACAATCTGGGCGAGGGGGCGCATGTATATGTTATATAGCATCGGGGAGAGTACTGCCCCCATGGGGCACTCTGCATTCAAGCAGGTGCCTCTGGGACTGCCGCTCCCCTAGCCCAACCCTTGTCCCCGACCTTGGAGAAAAGAGACAAGCCATTGAAGGGCGAGCCCCTGAATCCCCACGTCGGCAAGGTGGTGGGCCAGCAGCTGGTGGTCGATCGTATCAAATGCAGCCGACAAATCTAACAACAACAGCGCCACCACACCGCCTCGATCCAGATGTCTACAGAGGTTGTCAGTAAGGGCAACCAGCACTGTCTCCATCCCATGCCCCGGGCAAAAGCCAGACTGGAATGGATCAAGGACGGAAGCGTCATCTAGAAATCCCTGTAACTGCGTCGCCACCACCATCTCAATCAGTTTGCCCAAACAGGGCAAATTGGACACCGGCCGATAGCTGGCCAATTCAGTCGGGTCCAGAGTTGGCTTTTTCAGGAGAGGGCGCTTCCTTGAGTGCCTCGAGGAACCATCCCTCCGAAAGGGACTTGTTGATAATCTCCCTCAAGGCACCTCAAAACCCCTCGTGGCCCGCTTTAATGAGCCAGGAGGGGCACGGATCAAGGCTGCAAGTGGTTGGACGCACAGATACAAGCACTCTATCAACTTCCTCCAGGCTGAGCTGGTCAAAGCCCTCCAAGCCCGGCGAAACCGTGCAAGGGGTCTCAAGTTCACTTACTGTATCAACTGTAGCGGGGAGGTCACGGCGAAGCGACAAGACTTTATCCGTGAAATAGCACACAAAAGCCTCACAGCCAATATCCAATTCCCTACTCTTTTGTCTGCCCTGTGGCAGAGCTGTCAATGATCGAATCGTCCTAAATAATTGGGCCGGGCGTGAGCTAGCGCACTCTAAGCCCACAATCTCCACCGTAGGGAGCGCCCTGAAGGAGTAAGCCTCTTGTACAAATATCACCACTCCTCCCCCCCACCCCCTATTCCGTGATTGTTGTAGGACCGAAAACCCAGGTGGGGCAAGCTGGGAGAGAGCTACAGTCTCCCCTTCCCGCACCCAGGTCTCGGTCACGCAAGCCAGGTCAGCCTGTTGTTCTGTAATGAAGTCCCTAAGGACCATTGTTTTATTGTTAATAGACCTGGCATTGCACAACACCAATGTCGGAAGGGCGTTCCTAATCCTAGCCCAACTGCCGTCATCCTTTGGGATGGGTCGCAGGCTGGAAGGGCATCACTGGTATCACTCTCATGCCCATCTCTATAGGGCAGTGCAACAGACAAAGTAAGGTTTTTGCCTATTTGAGGGAAGGGGCTGCTCAGATATCCAGAAAAATGTTGGTTTGTAAATTTACAAAAATCCCCCTAACTAGCTCAGTAAGCCCTCCGGGAGGCACAGAATATTTGGGCCAGTATGCAGTAAATCAAAGGGGTAGGAGAAGACGTGAAATTAGGTTTGAGACATGCCAGCCATGGGACATGCATCCCCTGATATTAACGTATTCTTAGTTCCAGGGTGGTATAAATTTTTAAACACTTTAAACATAAAATGGTCCTCACCGGGGGATTAATATGGTATAAAAGCAAAACGTTTCTACTGATCCTAACTGATTACACAGCCTGCACAAGGGCTCTTTAAGCTACAAAGGAGCCAAGATAATTAATGGTATCCTAAGTTGGGGAGGAGGGCTGAGGGTTAGGCTGGCTTTCTGTTCCTGTAGCCTCAAATCTCAGTAGCCAGAGAAACTGCATTATAGCTCTTGAGGCTCAGTGCTGAAAAGGGAATTACTCATCTCACTTAGCAATGTCCTACTAGGGAGCAGAAATTCACAATCTGTATTCCCCTACCCCACCCCAGTGAGCACAAAAAACTACATTTCCAACTTCTAAACAAATTGGTAGCAATAGTTATAGTGATGGTTTGAAAAAATGCTCCATTCATAAGTGTCTCAGTGAGGCTGAATCAACATATGTACATTTTTAACCTGAAAGTAGGGAATCTCTGTGTGCCCTTCCTCCAGATTAACTGAACACTGCAAAGTACAATCATTGATTTCTCCTATGTCTCCTTATTGAGGGAGGAGACAGACGGAGTGATTCTAAGAGCATTTTCTCAGAAGATAGTATCATTAAACTCAATGGGGATTAATCCATAATGAGCATGTATAGGACTGCAGCCAGAGGCTTGGGATGCTAGGCTCTCAACCAAAACTAGCACCTTTGTCTGTGCCTGGAAGATAATACGCAGGTGTGTGCAGACACTTGTGGCTTTGGTCTTCACGGGTGTTGCCAATTCAATGACTCAGGAATTGAGGCCAAACTTGATGTGATGGGGATGGCCACATTTGTTTACCTGTTTTCCCAGGTGTGAAGAAGTGTATTTTTTCCTGGGAGGTTTGAGATAAGCAAAACCTCCCCTTTTGCGTTTTAACAGTCTTTTCCTCTCTGGGCAGAGAACAGGCTGGGAAGGAGAAAGTCTGTCAATGGCTTTCCAGGCTCACCTCAGCCACCTCTTAAGAAATGCTAATGGGTCTAGTGAGGGACAATGGGTAGGCCAAGCTCCCCCCCCACCCCCCCTTCAAGCAGGAAACAGAGATTTTGGGAGGAATGGAACACTAGGAAGGAAATGTTTAGAATTTTCCGGAAACATTTCTTTGACCAGGCGTGGCTGGGTCAGTGGGTGGAGAAATGGATATGATAAAACCTCTTTGCAACAGGAAGGAGCTCCCTTTTCCTTGGGTGCATGACCACACACAGACCTCTCCACTGGCAAGGCAGCCATTTTTGACTATGTGCTGGCCTAAAGCGTTGGAAGGAGCTTCAAGGTAATCATAACTTTGTAGGGATTTGTAACTACCTAAGCTAAAAGGGTCTGTCCTATGTTTTAACATCCGATAGGGCATGTATAGAAAGAGAGACAGAGGACTTGGACTTTTCCTATTTCTTTTGTATTCCTTGCTCAATTTGGTGCTGTGTTAAAAGTATGCTTGTAAACAATTTCTTTTTAATAAATACTTTAGAACTTTGGATACTGGCTGTGGTTCTCTGTACCACACAGACCTCCACTGATTCAGACACGCTATTTTAAAAGGAGTGCGGGGGGGGGGGAGGCAGGCAGTTGGCAAGTGGCCATTCCTCCAGGGGCACACAAGGCAGTAAACTGTCTCCATGGCAACCAGGAACTGGGCCTTGGGAGACACAGAGGCAAAGCCTCAACACTTGGAAGGGAAGCTGGGAGTCCTGACCCGCCCAGCAGACAAAAGTCAAAGTGGTGATGGTGAGCTACCCGACAGTGGAAGAAAAGCCCCTCCAGGGGTGGAGAAAAACCCAGGAGGGCCGTGCGGAATAAGACTTGCAGGCCAGAGCAGGTGTGTTCTGCCACACCCACACCCATATAAAGCAAGGGGTCTAATTTTAACATGAAAAGAAATATACCTGTGAGAGCTAAGCCATCCTAGCTCCCCCATCTCACTTCCCCCCAGCCCAACCCTCTGGCTGCTTTTCCACCAATGCAGCTCACTTCTGGTTATCTGAGCCAGGTGTGGTAAGAAATATTAGAAATATAGAAGAAGGTTTAGAAGATTTGGGTTTAAAATGAACCATAATAGTATACATATTTCTCTCTGCCCTTGCTAGGCCTGTGTGAATCAAAGCCTGTGACTCTTTTGCAAAGCCCCTCTTTTCCCAGAAGGATCTATTTCTTGGTCACACATTCCAAGGATGTAAAAACATTCCATTTCCCAGGAAAATCACTGATGTAGGACTTGCCAATACTCCAATTTCCTAGGCAATTAGGTATATGACCGTTTGGAAAATTAGCAGACTCCAATTCATCTCTCTGATGGCATCAGAGCAGTTTGTTTCCCATGATTGGGGAACACCTGAAGTAAACCATGGCACTGTATTTATGGAATGTGAACTCTTGTTATGTGAGACCAAGGGAGGGAAACCAATTTCCTCAAAAGACAAATACAATTTCTAAGTGTTAAATTTTAACTGCAATCCGATTATTAAGGGATCCCTTTGATCTCTGGTATAAATATGGGTGGTTCACAGCAGACTTCAGCTGAATCCGAAAGGACTCAGTCAGAGAGGGCCTCTCGTCCGCGCAGGCATGGGGTGGGGAAAACTTTGCTGCATGTTTATTTTTCTGTGTGTAATCTATCAAATGTTTAGGAATTAGGACTCTGAATGTTTTTCTATAATAAAGATAAGTTTTATTTTAAGAAGAGACTAGTGAATTCCAAGCTTGAACATCTGCCTTTGGTACGGGGCGACACTCAGGAGACACACACGAACTGAGGAGGGAGTGTGGGTGACATGGGTAAGCACGCTTTCACAGACAATGTGCAGACACACACCCACACCTCCAAATATCTCACAACACCAGGCTGAGGACCAAATGAGTTCAGGAATGGGCCTTGTGGAGGGTAACGCTGGGTAGGTGTCCCGTGTACCCTTTCTGGTTTAAAATCAGATCCAACCACTATTTAATACAAAGGAGACAGACAGCTGAACAAATCCAGCTACCTGTGATTTCTGCTTCGGCCCTTAGGCCTCACTATTACACAAAAACTTAGGTACACTTTTATGACAAAGCATGCCCAGTTTTGAAGGACTGAAAAGGTAATCATGGACTCACTTTTTCCTTCGTTGCCTTTCCTTTAACCTAGAGTGATAGATATCTACAACTGCAATCTTCAAAGCTGTGGAAATTCAGAGAGAGAGAGAGCACAAAAGAATAACTCTGTCATACAAGGTAATAGCTCCAAGCTTATCTCCCCAATCCTCATGCTCCACCAACACTGCCTGCTTTTATCACAGCATGAGAAAGGAGATGCTCCTCAGCAGTAAAGCAGTAAGCTGAATCTTGTTTGAAGACACTAGAAAGAAAACAGTTCCAAGCTGCTGCAACAGAAGCAGAACACAGCCCCTGCACGTGTGCCATGCAGGCAGTGTGGGGCCTGCTTCATGACTGTGCAATCCTGTGCTGTAGGGCTGTGTGTGTAAATGGTTATAATCATGTGGCTTCTCCCATCTGGCCACGCTATTATCATGCATAATGCTGGAGGCATTAGAGTGACCCACCCCAGACCAAATATATATTATTAGAGACTGGCTAACGTATAGAACAAGGTGACTATCAAAGTGGTTTCACAAACCCGAGAATCCTAAAATAACCCCAAATTGTGTTTGTGTGTGTGTGTGTGGGGGGGTGGTTGAGCAAAGTAACATTAACACAAACACTTTTTAAGTACATATTTTCAGCCATGAAAAATATTTTTCTAACCTTTCTCTTGCTTGGCACAGAACTCACCATGTAAAAGGTCTGAGTCATCCTCCACAAAATCTATATCCCTTAAGTCCCATTCAGCATAGTTGTCAAACTCCTGGGAGGAAGAAACAATTTTTAAAAAACTGGTCCCTTGTTCATTCGAAGAACCCTCACACAATATAAAGACAGACCGGGGGGGGGGGGAGCAGCTTTTTGCAAAAATCCCTCTCTCCCAAAATCTTCTGCTAGTAACTGGCCTAAAGCATCAAGAGTAACTGCAAATGTTACAAGGACCGCTTAGTTAAGCGTATCGTAAACCAGCTTCCTTCTCCTTACTCGTGCTGGAGAACTGTCCCAGGATGGAAAAGGCCATTAGAAATTCCAATAAGCCTATCAGATCAGAAACTCTATGTCACATGATTCCTAACCATAGTAATAGTGCCACAAAACTGGACCTGATGCTAGAATTGCCACCACCAACACTGTTGCGCTCTTAGGGCTTCTGAGACAGCACCACAAAAAATATACAACCAAAAAAGACAGGGTAAACCAAAAAGGTTGAGAACGCAAAACAAATAGGGGGTGTGGGGTTGAGTAGTACGCTGAAGTATATACATGAAAAAATTCAATTATATGCACAAAACAGAACACCACTAATTTAATATGTAAACAAATCAAAAACAGGGAACAAATGTGCACAAACAATAACACACAGCCAAGGGACTGTGGCTCAGTGGAAGAGCCTCTGTTTTGCATACAGAAGGTCCCAGGCTCAATCCCCGGAATCTCCAGCTAAAAGGACCAGGCAAGCAGTGATGGGAAGGACCTCTGCCTGAGAACCTGGAGAGCAGCTGCCAGTCTGAGTAGACAATACTGACCTTGATGGACGAATGGTCTGATTCAATATAAGGCAGCTTTATGTGTGTGTTTATTTGTGTTCAAAAGAATATATTCCAAATGTTTAATTTGGTTATCTTGCTGGTTCTTAATTAGGGATGCCAGCCTCCAGGTGGGACGTGGGGATCCCTCAGAATTAGAGCTCACCTCCATACTTCCCCTGGAGAAAACAGATGCTTTGGAAGGTGGATTCTATGGCATTATAACCCACTGACGTCCCTGTCCTCACCAGGCTCCACCCCCAAATCTCTAGGTGTTTCCCAACCTGGATCTGGCAACCTCACGCTCCCATCCCCTGACAGTGGCTGGCAGGGACCTGGCAGCCTTATCTTTTATTATGTTCTTTATGGTAAGTTAAGATATGGTTGTGCTAATTATGTTTCTAAGCCACTGATGAAGGCTTTCTGCTGAAATGCATTTGGCATCCTTATTGTCAACCTTTTTGGTTTACCTTGAGGTTCATCCAGGGTTAACTCTCTCACTTTTTCTTTTGGTAAAAAAGACAAAGACTTTTTCATTCTTTGGAAAAAAGAGGACTTCAGTTGAGGTAAATGAGCAATTAGATGTATCTGGAGAGTGAGTACCACAGGGGGGAATGGCTACTCCAAAATGTTGCCTGTGACAACCCCAGATTCAGACTCTGAGGTAAATTTAGCAAGAACCTGTTATTGCCTCAGGGTTTACACGTTTTTCTCCAATTACTTTTCCTGCTGGACCTACTGTGTCTTAAGCCCTTCCTTCTGCTCTCCCAGTTTGTGCCAAAGGGTTTACGCATGTCCAACCATTTACACTGCAAATCCTAAATCTTAAAAAAAAGATATCTACGAGCACTGGAATAATGACACAAATAATCCCTTCCAGCTGCATTCAGGTTCGTGACCATATTGTACACAGAAACCACAAGCCTTTCGTATTTATTTCCAGGAGGAAAAGCAAAGACCATCCCTGAGATATTCCTACCTCAATGAAATCTGCTCTTGCTGGCATGTATCCAGCCATATCTCTGGAGAGCAGAGAATCGAAGGTAGGGCGTGGAGGATCTTCAGATGCTAGAAAAGAAGAAAACAAGAACAATCCACCCCCACATCTTAGGTAGTTTTTAACATCTGCCATTTTAAAGGCACCCTAAACAAAGCAACACAAAGGGAAAAGGCAGCTGAGTGTTGGATATTCTGGAAACAGGAAATACAAAAATATTTTGTGATTCCTCGCAGAATTAAATAAATGTTGTAGTGGTTTGATATTTAGGGTTGCCAACCTCCAGGTGGCACCTGGAAATCTCCCACTATTACAAATGATCTCCAGATGACCAAGATTAGTTCCCCTGGAGAAAATGGCTAATTTGGAGGGTGGACTCTGTGGCATTATACTCTGCCCTCCCCAAACCCACCCACCACAGGCTCAACTCCTAAAATCTCAAAGTATTTCCCAACCCAGAGTTGGCACCCCTATGTAATAATATTCCTCATAGGCTTGTATCTAGAGTCATTTGCAACCCAACCCTAACCATAACTCAGAAGTAAATCCCACAGTTCAGTGGTAAGAATGTCACCATGCAGCCCAATTCTACGTATGCTTATTCTAGGGCTGCCAAGTGGGGGCGGGGGGCGGGTAACCCCCCGCTTTGGAGGCCCGATTTCCGCCGCCGTGGAATCGGGCCCTGGGAGGAACTCCACTCCCGTGGGCACGCTGGAAGTGACGTGGGCACGCTGGGGGCGGGACCACGGCCATACAAGGGAAAACTCTATGGTTTTCCCTTGTATGGCCGTGGCCCCGCCCCCAGCGTGTCTGGCGTCCTCCCGTCACTTCCGGGTGATGTGCGTGCAGCGTGCGCGCGCCTTGCAAGCGTGCACACGCACAAGACACTGGCCAGGAGCCCCCCACTCCCGGCGAAGATACACTTGGCAACCCTAGTTTATTCAGAATTGTCCCACTCGGTTCAATGGGCCTTACTCCTGTGTAAGTGTGCATCACATTGGAATCTTAGTTCTGAACTGCAGTAAAATTCTCTTAAGGACTGCATACTAACACAACTTGCCATTTTGGTAACTAGCCAATGATGATATCTTTTATGAATAAAACTGTCATAGTAAAAATGATCTATTATGATGCTGCAGTATATTGAGTGATTGCAGTGTTATAGCCCGAAGTTGTTCCCCATTCATAGGCTAGAAAGCTTATGTAGGTCTTTCAAGTCATAACCCCGTAGGGTTTTCAAGGCAAGAGAGGTTCAGAGGTGGTGTGCCGTTGCCTGCCTCCACATCACAACCCTGGTATTTCCTGGAGGTCTCCCATACAAACACTAGCCTGAGCTGGTTCTGCTTAGCTTCTGAGATCTGACAAGACCAGGCTAGCCTGGGCTGTCCAGGTCAGGGCACATAAAATAATCCTAACTAAAAGTGCCTAAATCCAAAAATGAAAATATGTCACTGAAAATGCAGCACTGACACACTCCTTTACCAAGATCTGAAGTAGTCAACCTCCACATAAATTAGAAATCAAAATGTCTAAATCTGTACAAGAAAAATAGAGGAGACTAAATTGCATGTTCTGAATTCATGTCATTTTCTGCTGCTTGTTTTGACTTCAGGAGCAAAAATTTATCATGAAAGCTAAGTTGTAAAGGCAACAGCAAACCAACCCAGTGGCCGTGTGTAGAATAGGTATTAAGAAACGAATGCTAAAATGGCAATCAGCATATTTGGTATTTAAAAGCTATGTTTCATGTGATACTTTCCATGTGGAAATAATCTCTGCAGGAAAAGGTATGCTTCTTAAAATGGAACAAATGTACAAAAATGTTTATGTGTTTTCAAGTTGACAGACACCAGTTTATCTAACTACATTTGTTTATATCTTGTAGACCACATGCCAAAATCTACAAATGCAACAAACAAACATTTGTACTGTCTTGAAAACACAGCGCATTTGTCCTGTCCCCCCAACTATGATTGTTCTCAAAGCGGAAAGCTTACAAGTCATAGTCATTTCTGCTTATTATGCAGCAAATATATTTGCTAAAAGTCACCAAACTGCTTGACTACATACTGCATTCTCCACCCACATTATCAGATTAAACCAGGATAATTTATCCTGTGGATTAATTTATTCCCCTTTTCATGAATTTACTATAGCAATGGTTTGAACAGTTTATGGAAAATCTGATTTTTTATTTTAAAAAAGCCACAATGAATTTCTCTTCTGTTTAAAGGAAAATTTGTCTGCATCATCTACAGACATTCTCTGAAGGACATCTGGGGGACACAGAACAAAAGAATGGGAAACCCCACACCCAGCTCTGCAGTAGACACTTACAGTAAAACGGAATGGCTGTGTCAGTGAGTTGGTTCTCTTCTGCCTGCTTCAGACTTAACAATGTGGAAGCAAAGAGGGGGTTGTTGATGAAGTGTTTCATGTAATGTTTCTCACACTCCTCTTTAGTCTTTGTGCTCATCTGATTGGCTACATCCTGCCTAGAAGGGAAGGGGAGAGATGGAACTAGTTAAACAATGATTTGATGAAAACGCCGATTGTTCTAGCTGCATACCCACTGAAATTGGACAGCTCTCCCACATGGATTTTAACACTGAACTAGGCATTAAATTCTCACCAGTTTCCAAAGCCACAATCCATCACAGCTTCTAGCAGGGCCATTTCTTCCTGAGCTGTCCAGGTAGGATCAAGGACTGGGAAATTGGAAGTCTGGAGAAGAGGGGGAAAGGATTTAAATGTTTTGCTGCGCAGTTAGGCTTCTTAAATCCCACTGACTTCAGTGCCATTTAAGCTGTTTCGAAACCTTTATCTGTCTCATCCCTATTGATCAGGATAAGCAACAGTAAATAAAAACAAAAAACATTTACAGCATAAAAGTGACACGCTAAATCCCCAACTTTCTATGGATTGGAACTTCAATGATAGCTCAGCCTGAATACTTTTAATTGTGTATATTAAAATGTTTTTTATTATTTTGGGGGAAAACAGGATAAGGAACTTTTCTGCAGATTTGCTCACTGTTTGTCTGTATGGCTTGGATCAGTCATGATTGCTTCCCTGAAATCCAGCCCACTTTGAGTGCAGATGTGTAATTTTGGGAAAGCAGTTATTTCCACGCTCCTGGATTTATTCTCTAGGATTCTACACACAGGTGACTGTATTTTTATAAGCAGCGAAAGAAGCCTATGCAGCAGGTACCCATGCCTCACATGCAAATCCTTCACTTAAAAAACAAGGCCATGGCTGTGTTGATAATACTGCTATACTTATAAGCTAAAATGATCATCATAATAGCCACAACAAATAACATTGCTATTTTTAAAGCAATTTAACCTTGGCCATATTCAAGAGTGGGCCTCTCTGAGATGCCTCTCCCTACCACCAAAGTCTCAGATGGTGCTCCCCTCTTTGCAGATTTCAATGACTGTCTCGAGAAACAAGCCAGATTTTATATTCAAGATGCCCATTCCTTATAACCCTCTGCTCTACATGCACAAAAGCAAATCTGCTCTTCCAGTAGCCGGGAACAAGATGTCACAGTCTCACACTGACAGGTTAAAAGCTTTAGTGGTACCTCATAGGAATTTAATAATGTCATAATAATGTAAATATCTCACAAGCCATAATTACTATTAGCTTATAAGTGTCATTATGGAACATAACAAAGACCTCATCATTACCATATCCAGGGGTCATTTCAGGGGGGATCGCGGGGGATCGCAGTTCCCCCGTGTGAGGTACGGAGGGAGGGGACACATGACGAAGCCCCGCCCCCTGCTTCCGGCCGCCCTGCTTCCGGCCCTCATTCAGCCAGGAAGAGGCAGGAGAAGAGGGAGGGTAAGTTGCTCCCTCCCTGCCTCTCCCCACCCCTGCCTGCCTGGGGCCAGGGAGGGCCTTTGCGGGGCTTCCTTGCACTCCCGCCGGCCTTGCAGGTCCACCGCCGGGCCCCTCATGGGGCTCAGCAGTGGAGCTGCACGGCCGGCGACCGTTGGGGGCGGGGTGTGTGGCCTTATGACACACTTCCAGTGATGTCAGGGGGTGTGGCATATGCTAGTGAGTTATGCAATGAGTTCCCCTAACTCTTTTTCTACGAAATGACCCCTGACCATATCTGTGGGCTGTAGTACCAGAAGCAACAAGACATGAATGATTAAGGGGGGGGGGAGACAGAATAAACTGTTTAATATAAACCTGCTTCAAGAGTTTCAATGGGGTAGAAGATATAATTATTGTGCGTGACAGTGGATTAACAAAAGTATTTTTCTGGTTAAACTTGTAAGTAACCAAAAGTATTATTATTTTGCAAAGTAATAAACAGTGAAATTTCTTATGGAATGAATCTCTTAGAGTCATAGCCACAAGAAACTAAGAAGGGTTCATCAGAACAGCATATTCACCATAATTTCATAGGTGTGGTCACTGCGATGTTTCTTATATTCGAATCCTCTTGTGAAACACTGCAAAGCAAAATATAACAATAAATAAAATGAGCAGTCTGCTATACGTCTTCCTTTCTGTTTTTCTTTCATTTAAAACATTTATCCTCTGCCTTTTCCAAGCTCAGGGCTGCTTCCAGAAAAATAAAACAATCCGATTTTAAAACCACTAGATCCAATAAACTTAGCAGCAGCATCGTCACAGAGCTACTATGTCCATTCAGCAGGTATAAAGGAGCTAAGATAGTACAGACAGACAGCAGTGGTTAAAACGTTTGATAGGCATTTGGGTGACCTGGGTTCAGATCTCCACCTTGCCAGGGAACTCGAATGACTAAGCCCTCATGTTTATTCTAACCTATAATGCAAGGTTCTTGTGAGGCAAAAATGGAGAGAGAGAACCTTATACGCCACCCTAAACTCTCTAGAGGCAGGAAGGGATAAAAATATAATACAGTGTGTAGGTAGGAGTCATGGTTGTTGTAGACCCCCAAATATCAGTCAACAGCAGAGAGTTGAACAGTCTAACCTAGGGCTGGCAGCCAGTGGCTGGCAACTGGCAGGAGTTGGGAGGGGACATAGGGAATGCCGTTGGAACAACAGCATTACATCAGTCCCAGGGGAAAAACCCAAATGACATCACACTGCTCTAGGAATTGCCAGAAATGATGGTTTTACCATAGAGTTTCCAGCAATTTGTAGAGTGGCATTGTGATTAATAGGATTTTCAAATTTATTTTCTCCTGCGAGTTGCTGCAGCGGCAGTAGCCGATGGGAGCTCAGCAGCTAATTGGCGAGCCTAGTCTTACAGCAGTCCACAGTGCCTTTTATCACTGAATAAATACTTTCACTACTGTTACTGCTTGACATTTTTGAACCAACACCTTTTGTGGAGTTGCACAATAAAACTCTTACATGGGACTGCTATAAATCACCTTTCTTACTGCAGAGTGCAAGAAAGGACAATGTATTTGTCTATTACAGCTTGTTGACGACTCTGTCAACCACAGCCTGAGCCAGTCTGTGATGACTATCCCTACCCAGCAACAAACTGCAGCATCAGTTGTGGTGCCCTAACAGGCCTCAGATGCTTCTTGATTATCCAGCCATTGGGGTTGTCATCACACACACTAAATAATCCACTTTCAGTGCACTTTCCAACTGGATTTTGCCACTTCACACAGTAAAATCCAGTTGGAAAGTGCACTGAAAGTGGATTGGAAATGGATTATTTAGTGTGTGTGACCGCGGTCTCTGTCTCGCAGCCTCTGTCTCTGTTTCCTTGGAAAATGCTACATGCCTGATAAGATCATCATTATGAATTCCTCTCTCCACTCATAAAGGTAGTTTACCTGCAAGCATAGCAGGAAGGGAGGTGGCCCACATTCAGCACACTTGATGTAAGGTTCCGCAAGGTAGGAGGAGCACCCTCGGCATGGCGGCTTGTCAAAAGGATCATCTGTGAAGCCAATAAGACCACAAAAAATATAACCTGGGTAGCCTTTTGCAAGCCCAGATACCCTCCTTTGTTATCAAAGCTGGAACTGAAAATGCTAGCTATCTGTGTTATATCCTAGATTCTGGTTTACAGTTACTGCAAAGTATAATAGAGGAAAAAGTTTAATGGTTTTCCTAGAACTGGAATGGGATTGCATTTAGGAAAACCTGTATCCAGGATGTGATAAATAGAAATGTGGGAGAGCTCCAACTGAGATGGTATGTAACTCCTCTGAGAATCTGTGAGCAGATTCTTCTGAGTGTGGATCTCCTTTTCTGGATTGGGGCAGTGCTGTGTTCACTGCTATAAGAGAACAAAAGGTGTACTCAGGAACACCACTGGGGTGAAGGCTAGCCCTACTTCTTGCTCCTAGCAGCCCCGACCGTTAGGAACTGGGCTGTAAACTCCCATCCCTGATTCTGTTTCATAAGCTGACCAGAATGCGGTTGGGAACCATACTGGGTTGTGCATCTTCCACACCCAAGTCTGACCTAACCAGGTCTGTTTTCCTCCTCTGAATCTTTCACCCAAGGTTAAATGGTTATTAAGAAAGCATAGTTCTTGAATCGGGAGCATCTAAGAGCTATCTGCAACCTTTCAGTTAAAATACTTACTGCTGAAAGATGCCAAGCGCTCCATGTTCTTCCCTCACGATCCTGAGCAGTGCTCCAAGGGTTTGAATGAAACTTTTCAGAGTCACCCAGCCCTGCAAAAAAGTTATCTATCAGTTTACTAGAAAAAGAAGCCTCAAATTGTCTCAGAGTCAGGTGGGGTAGCCATGTTGGTCTGAAGCAGCAGAACAAAGTTTGCGTCCAGTGGCACCTTGAAGACCAACAAAGATTTATTTACAGTATAAACTTCTGTGCATAAGCACAGTTCCTCAGTATCTGAGGAAGTGTGCTTGCACACGAAAGCTTATACTGTGAATAAGTTTGTTGGTCTTAAACGTGCCACTGGACTCAAACTTTAAATTGTCACAGATACCAATACAGATTTATTTTATGATGTTTTAATGCCCCAGGCTTGTTTCTGTTATTGATAATTTATTATTATTATTATTATTATTATTATTATTTACTTGTGAGCCACCTTGAGCTAGTCTCTGAAGACGAGCAATGTACATTTTCTAAATAAATAAACTGCTGGTTACTGTAAGAAAATACCATCATGGTAGTTCTTTTTGGAAGGAAACCAAATGCGATATTTTTAATATTCAAAGCACTGGCATATTCAGGATTATTTCTTCAAAAAAAGTTCCCACAAATGATTGGTAAGGCAGGAAAGATGTTACTAAATCTGAAGAGTTCTGGCACCTATGTCTTCCTTGGTTTCCTTTTCAATACAGATAAAGGTTACTTTTTTGATTTTTGTTCAACAAGTGAGGCAGAACTTGTATGAGCCAACTTTGTCCTCAGTTTGGTGACGTTGTCGGTGATTTGGAGACTCATAGTGATCTGACTGAAGAGAAAGGCTTTCTTGGAGCAGGGGCAGTTTTGTTTTGACAGTGAATAAGTTTAGTGCGTCAAGGGACCCATCTAAGTTTAGTACCTAAGAGATAATTGGGAAGAGCCCTAGTTCAAGACTCAGTGCTGCCACAAACTCACTAGCAGTGTAGTCCTAAGTAGAGTTACACTGTTGAACATGGAAAACATAGCATAAATGCTGTTTATGATTATTAATCTCTCATCCCTTGTCAGATTGCTGTTCCCATAGAGCAATATTGGAATATAAAACAAGTGGGAGGTAGAGAGATCTTATTGAAGACTCACTGGTGCTTAGAACCTGCCTGCCTGACCCTCCAATGTAGCATGACAGTTGTTCTTGGCAATTACTTATTTGTGGCGGTCTATATTTAATTATTTCTATACTTAGCTCATCCTGTCCCAAAGAGCTGAAATATTATTAAGCTGTATTTCCACAACACTTTTGAGAACTCATTCATAATTACAAGTAATCTTCCAATAATCTTGTACGGCAGGTTAATTTTGCTGTCATCCACAGACTGCAGATTGGGGGAGGGGGGTTGAGAGAAGAGTGGCTTGCTTCTCAGTTACCCAGTGAATTCACAGTCCCTGGCAAGATGTGAGCCAGGGACATCCTGACTGGCAGTTCACACTCATAGCCAGTAGTAGAGCAGAAACTATTTATATATTTTGTCGAAGGCTTTCACAGACAGAGTTCATTAGTTGTTGTAGATTTCCCGGGCTGTATGGCCGTGGTGTTGGCATTGCAGTACCTGATGTTTCACCAGCAGCTGTGAATGGCATCCTCAGAGGTATAACACAGAAAGATGGAGTACTCTCTCTGTCAAAGTGAGAAGAAAAATGGTAGGCAGGTAATTTATATCTACTCAGGAAGGTGGAACAGGGCTGAGTCATTAACTTGTAGGAGCTGCTGGCGAAAACGTCAGCTGCTGGCAAAACATCAGGTACTGCAATGCCAAGACCATGGCCGTACGGCCCGGAAAATCTACAACACCTATTTATGTATCTTCAGTGTTTTGAGGTGTAACAATATCCTCTGATTTCTTAACTTCAACTAACGAATGCTTTGCCAGGGCCACTGTGTGGCTTCTGAAACTCTTGGAGGCTCTGGTGTGTTAACTGTAGAAGGGATTTCCACCTATCATGTTAGATTCACGCTGGAAGGAGCTTCCTTGTGTGGGGACTCTGGAGTTTTTTGGGAGAGAGCTAGAGTGTTGCCCTGGCATGGTGTTTCCGGCTCACAGCAAAAGTGAAGTCATTGTGTAGGGGATGATGGTCACCGCCCCCCCCCCCCACTTTTGGCTGGCCTGTTTGCACCCGCTAACAGGCACTGACCAAAAATGGCAGGAATTTTGGGGAAGCCTAGCTGGTGAATCGTGTCACACCGGTGACGTGATGTCACTTCCACATATGTGCCAGAAATGATGTCACGCTGCCACTGCACCAGTGTTCTCTAAGCTGTGGAGTCTTGTGAGCAAAAATTCTGCTTTGTGAGCTACTGGCATTAAAGTTGTGAGTGAGCCATTCTGCTGTCACACCAATTAGTTTGCTCTGGAGCCATCCTTCCTGAGAAGGAGGAGGAGGAGAAGAAGATTGGATTTATACCCTGCCTTCATTACCCAAGGGAGTCTCAGAGCGGCTTACAAACTCCTTTCCCTTCCCCACAACAGACACCCTGTGAGGTGGGTGAGACTGAGAGAACTCTTGACAGAAACTGCTCTTTTTCAAGGACAGCTCTTATCAGAACTACGGCTTGCCCAAGATCATCCAGCCAGGTGCAAGTGGAGGAGTGGGGAATCCAACCTGGTTCTCCGAGATTAGAGTCCACACACTTAACCACTACACCAAACTGGCTCTCCAGCTAAGACAAAAATATGTGAGCCAGAGGATAAGAAACTGTGAGCTAGCTTACACTAAGCTTAGAGGGAACACCTCACTGCACTGTCGTTTTTTGAAACTTTCCCCCACCAGTGGCCTACTTACGGTTGCCAGGTCTGGGTTGGAAAACACCTGGGGATTTTGTGGGTGGATCCAGGGAGAGTGCAGGGTTTGGGGAGGGGAGGGGCCTCGGCATGGTACGATGCCACAGAGTCCACCCTCCGAAGCAGCCATTTTCTCCAGGGGAGCTGATCTCTGTCAGCTGGGGATCAGTCCTAAAAGATCTCCAGGCCCCACCTGGAGGCTGGCAGCCCTAGGCCCACTGCAGGTAACAGCAAGCGACAGCAACCTTACTTCATTGGTATCTCAAAGACTTAAGCTTCTGGAATGCCTCTGGACTGCTCTTTTATTCTGCTGCTGTAGATGAACTCATCTGGGATTTGCACGTGATTTGCATAGGCTAATTTAATATATGGAAATGCACAATGACTGTCCTCTCATATAAACAAGGGGAGAGAGTGTGTGTGTGTGTGGGGGGGGGAGGACACAGCGGCTAAAATGTCAGACTAGGTCCGAAGGGGCCTGGGTTTTAATTCATCTTTCCCGGCCCTCATTGTCCAAACATCCATGCCCCCCCCCCTCTGACAGA